GGGGGGGGGGGGGCGGCGTACACTGGACTGTAGCGAGACTTCTGTTTTGCCCTTTGTTGTGGGTGCAATGGCGCCGACTATGACAATGATTATATATATATTTTTCTTTGTATTGTGATATATTGGGTCGCTGGACCAAGGTGCACACACTTTGCAGGGAACCTTTTCATCAAGGGCGAAGAGCGTCTGCCATGACAGCGCGGGATCTAGAAGTGCAAGTCTGTGGGAAATATAATAATCTCTGTATAGGTCAAGGTGACACGCCCTTATCGGAACTCGTCACAAAAGTGCTTGGCGGTTATTCAAGTAAGCGACTGATCGGTTCTAAAATACCGGATAAAGGAAAGGACACAACAGTTACGTATACAGAAAGGTACATTCGAGACACACGACGCCGTGGGTGTATCCCAACGAGGAAGTAAATCATAGCGTCTTGATTGTGGCAGCCTACGCTAGGTTTGCACATTCCGGTATCTGGAAAGGAGATTTCAGTCGATCGGGACTTGAATTCTAAAATTAAGCAAATTCATATCTACTTGGGAAGACACTCCTATTGTGACGAAAGTACTGTTTCTAAGATTCTGTTTGCTTAGCTCGGTCCGTTGCGAATGACAGCCTTTCGGGCTGCGAGAGGCAGGATACAGGAGGTGTCAAATCAAATATGTCTGTGTTCGTCAGGAAATATTTCCATCTGTAGAGTTGACAGAAACAGTTTGGAGAGGCTTTATCGTTAAGTAATTCGGCTTTTCAAAACCGGAGTGATTCCAACATTTTGCTCAGTTGGCGACACTACACTATTTGCTCCAAGACCAACTGTTCAGAGGTATACTAGACAGTGCCAGACTGGTCTCAGACTTGAGATCTAGATTCTTATGTCTCCTTTCACCCAAGTCATGGGAGGTGGGACTTTGAGTGTGATGTTCCTCTTTTGTGTCAGCTTGGTAAGTACTTACTGTTCTTTTACTTTATCTGTCCCTTTGTACCGCAAGTTGTCGAAGAGGAAGGGGGGGGGGGGGGGGTGCTATTGTAAGGCGTGGGGATGTGTTGCTGTTTGGATCGTCATTTTGTTCCTCTTGGGGGTGTCTTTGAGTCAGTAGATCCATCATTTTCTGGGTTTTCCTTTTGCCTTGAAGCCATAGAATCTCACATTGTAAGCCTTTAAGGCTGCCCCAATTTCACAAAGTGTTCAAAACCATTAATTGATTCGTTGTCTCTCGGCGTATCTCATTCTCGATTCGACGCCCTCTTGTCACTTCCAAGGATGGAACAATTTGGGGACTTTTAAAATAAGGACCTCCTAGGAAGAATGTGAAATGTGTATTTGTAGCGTGAGGATTGCTCGAAGCAGATCTCTGGATGTCGAGGCATGTTGAATCTCAAGATCGACCGCAGTTTATGTTTTTTAAAAGGGGGGGGGGGGGGGGGGGG